CAAGGTGGCATGGAGGAGGATATCCCTGAACTCTACCATAGGTAAAATACAAAGGAATTCCAATAGGCAGTATCTTCAAAATAGTACTGAAGAAGGAGCAAGTGCAGTAGTTTCAGAGCGGGAAGTGTATTGGTTCCACTAAACAACAGGAGGCAGATTCCTTTGCAGTGTGTTAGGAATGAGAGGATGAAGTGGGTTCACTTATTGGGAGTCACATTGGAAAGCAGTCAAACCAGGCGTACTTGGGGACATGGCTGGCTCTACCTTGAGACTACCTGAGCTGGGGCTGGAGATGGGGCAGTGGACATAGTTATATTGTTGGAATGTATTAGGTAGAGTTGAGAATGTTATTCTGTGGAACATGAGAGGTGCAATTAGGGAGACCCACTATTATGGTTTGCCCAAGGTACTCCCATTTTTTAGCACTGGGGAAAAAAAACATGGCCTGGGAAATCTTTCCTCCATCACAGGCTCTGGTGGTCAGCTGAGGTCTAGCTCAGACAAGGGATGGGAATCAGAGGTCCATACCAGAGCAGTCCATTAGCATATTAGCAAGTGCACAGAGCGTGGCTGCCAGAGATCTAGGATGGAGCCATTCAGACTCTTGTAGACAGGAAGTGGAATTAAATGATATTTTAGCTGCAAGCACTTTGGCCAGCTGAAATTTATTCAAGAGCAGTATTGTTGAAACAACTTTGTGTATGGGCATTTGATACATGTTTTGAGAGAAAAAAAAAGAAAAAATTTAACCACTGGCTAACAGTAAGAACAACAACAATAATAGTCCTGTATCATGTGCCATGTGCTTGCTAGATGACTGAGAGCCTTACCTCTTGGATTTTTGGGTGGTGAGGCCACACTCAGGGCTTACTTCTGATTCTGTGCCCAGGGCACTTCTGGCAGTGCCCAGGCATCATACGTGGAGTTAGGGATCAAAATTGGAGTTGGTTATGTGCAAGGCAAGGGTCTTTCCCCTTGTAATCTCTCTCTAGACCAACCTCACTTTGAATTCTCACATTTGTCCTAGAAGATAAGCACAGTTATTTCCTACGTTTCACTGATGAGGAAACTGACTGGTGGCTAGAGAGATGAAGCTGTTTGCTCAGTTGCATAGCCAACCATGTGCCAACTGTAGGAAGAAACCTTGAAGTAGAGGCAGCATGAAGCCTATATTCTTAGTCATGGTGTGTTACTGCCTCATGGTTTCGACTAACTACATCTAGTTATAGAATAATTAGCAACGTGTAGACTAGCAGAAGGCTATAGACAAAAGGACTTGCATTTCTCTCTACTTAGAAACAACACCTTTGTTGGTATATGTTTCTTCTGGGCAGATAACATGTATTTATATATACTGTTTTTGTAGATTTTTCTATAAAGATTACTTGATGAATCTTTTAAAGATAATAGCATTAAATTTCTTTCAACTTACCTTGTGGGACATTCTGATTACTGACTCTTTTTGACATTACAAATTGCTCACCATAGAAGTGGTGAGCTGAGAATGATGAATCAGATGACACAAAGTGAAACACACACAGAACAAAAAAATCAAAACAAAAAACACTAATGCAAGAGATGAGTGACAGTGGTAAGTAAAATCAGTGGTGTTTGCCCTTAGCCAGTCTAGTTCTGTGAAGACTAACAGCTGAGGAATATATTTATTTTAACAATTCATGATGTCGAGCAGCTTTCTTGACCAAGTGTTGGCAGCCGATTCACCTGGAGCCACTGACTGGAACCCAGACAGTAACCTGCCCTCTTGGCAGACTCAGGAAAGCCACTGGTCCCTAAAACGGAAATGCCAGGAGGGATTCTGTTCCGAAGAATAAGCCACAGTCAGTGACCAGAAGCAACCTCTGCCATAGGGAGATTAATTTCAGGGTCATTATATTAAGTCAGCTATAGAGATAGAGCAAAAGGTCCCAGCCAGGCTCATGGCAACAGGATGATGATGCTGAATCCCAGATCATTGGTCTCGTGTGCTTGAGTAGAGTCTCCAGGTGGGGAAGTGGCCCATAAGAACCCTGGAGATTAGCAGGTTCCAACAAGCTGAAGTTTTGAAGGAGAATCATACAAGGAAGAGCTACCAGGTGATTAAATTGATTAGGTGTAGACAAAGAAGCGATTTGAAAGAGAATTTCTTAAAACTATTTTGATAGCCAATAAAAAACGGGGGACTGTTGGTATGGACAGTGGGAGGGACAAAATGGCTGTACACTACCTGGACACCTCCATTAAATGAATGGATTGACATGGTTAATGCTGTTCCTCTTGTCATATTTTGGTATACAGACAAAGCATGTAGTTTGTCCCTATAGGGCTATAATGCTGCCATTAGTTTCATTAAAGTTTTAACTAGTCACAATAATATAACTGATAAGAAACACATATTCAGTTGACGGAATTATTTTTCTTAGATATCTTAGATGGTTACCCACAGTTTGTAGCTCACAGCTCACAGAAGCTGGAGCATTTCCTACATAGTGAAGGACTGAATGTGTTCCTTGTTCCATTATTGAGGTCATTTGGGAAAACATCTGAGGATTGGCTGATTGTTGGAGGCACCACGGGTCAATCCTCCCTTGATTTCCTGAAAGGAGAGAGGGACCAGTGGCCAGTGAGCCAATCAAGCTGGCCAATGGAAGAAATCTTCTAGAAACCCTCCCAGGGCTTGGTGCGTTTGGGGGTCAGTGAGCTAGAGGAGTTTTGGGAGGCTGGCATTCCAAAAGAGGGTGTGGGGGCTCTGTGCCCCCCTTTCTCCATCCCTTGCTCCATGCATCTCTTCTTCTTGGATGTGCCTGAAAAATACCCTTCGCAACAACTGGTGATCTAGTAAGTAGATGAGTTTCCTGAGTTTCAGGAGCCTCTGGGGCCAATTAATATAAGGTTCAGTGGCCACTGGACTCTCTGATCTCTGGTCCCTCAGAGGCACAGGGGACAGTTTCTTAGCCTGTGTCTATGTGCTGGCTTGGATGCCTGCACACGACCCCAAGTGGCGGGCTCCGTTGTCTTGGAGATGAGCTTTTGCCCCATGGAATCCATTGGATCTCTGGGTGGATGGTGGCAGGATGGACCACAGTGAATTCTCAGACGTCTGGCCAGTGTCCAGGCCCTGCTAGTTGATGTCGGGAAGCTGGCTCATCACACGTTCACATTCAAATTGCTCTCCGGACACCTACATAACCAGTTTATTAAAAACTCCTTTTATCACTGAGCCCTTAAGCAGACATGTTCTGTCTTATGATTGCAGTTCATGTTATTGTGTTTTAAAATGAAAAATTATCTTAGAGCTATGAAGGCCATCACAAAATGAATGACTAATGTGCAGAAAAGCGGTCCCAATTAACTTTCTTGGATATTGATCAGATAAGCCCTGAGATTTATGGTTGCATTCTGAAATTTTTATTAGATGAGGCCTTTGTTTTTCTGGGTAACTCTTTGGAAGGGCTTTCCAAACACTGGGAAGTACCCCTCTGAGCTTTCTTCAAAAAGACACTTCCCTTACCGAGGGTGTATATTGTTCTCTGTTTTTATTGTATAGAAGCTAATTCAGTGTTCTTAATCAAAGATCACCCTCTCTGTCTGAAGTTACAAAACAAAGAATGCTTCTAATAACATGCTATTAGAGGAACTTCCTGTTATTAATTGTAGCTGATATATTTGCTGTGGATTTTTATACTTGTGTTTGAAGGCAAAGGCATCATTTTTGTTTCTTCCATAAAATCACAGTTATGTGTTGTAGGGGGAAAATAAAAAGTAAACTGAACTGCAACAGTCCTGAGCATCAACTACCCCTTCTCGCATTCTCAACCTGAGCATTTTTATGGGCCCTCTGCTTGTTTCTGCGGCTGTAGCTACATTCATCACACATTCCTCTCCCCTCCTCCTGTATCTCCTCTGCTGGAACATGAGGCCTGTGGTATTGCCAAAGGAGAGAAGCTTTGTTCTGTGTTCTGTGCTTTATTGGATTTCACTCCTGGTGGAACTTATTGTCCTTTCCTCCCCTCGCCCACCACGAAGGTTCAATAAATCCAGGCTCCGCGTTGCTTCTCTTTATCCCCCAGCAGCCTAACCAGGGGCCCTCCCAGAACAAACCTCAACTATGTGAAAAGAGCAGTTCTGGGTGTTTCTCTGGGGGGACCGCCAGCCGCGAAGCCCCACTTGTGGCTTCCCTGGTGATTGGCCCCTGGCCCAGAGGGGCTTTTGTGTTGGTGGATTCCAAGTGTGAAGTTTCTGGGGTTTCCTTACAGGCCTCTTCCCACTTGTATCCAACAGGGCTTAGGACCTGCCGAGCTTTCGTTATCGATTATTTCAGCCCCGATTAGCACTTGCTGGACTTTGATTAGAAGTATTGGTATTTGGGGGGTGGGTCTTGTTTTCATTCACCCTCTGTCCTTTAGCGGAAGTGTTTCCGGACACTATGTCCAGGCTCAGAGCCCTCCAGGGGGCTAGGCCAGCCATTAGAAAATTCTGGGACCAGCTTTAGGGGAAAGTGTTTGTAGGTGATTGCAGCCCCTCTGGTTCAGGTTGTAACTTGAAAGTATTTTCTTCCTTTCTCTCTCACATCCAGTGTTCATGCTAATGAAACCTCAAGTAACTCATTACTTTCTCTCTATACTGGCGACCCCATTACTTTACATGAACCTTCTCTACCACCTGGTGGGCCCCTGCAGACCCAGTTAATGATGCAAAAGTCACTGTAACATTTAAAGTATTTATCATTCTTTCATCTGATAAGTAGGAGTATCTCTGTTCTGAATTTTGTACTTTGCTAAGTCTCAGAACATTATCTATCTTTTTTCTCATGTCCAGATGAATTGGAGATTCTACTTAAAAAAAATACTGGTGCCTTTTCCTGGGTACCTGGTACTCAGTGTCTCTCAAAAGGATTTCTTTATGACTGTCAGACACAAGCCATCTGTTCAGCAATTTCTAAAGATTCACTGAGCTAAATGTGACAAACAATAGCATATATTTCTTTCATAATTTTGTTTCAGGAAGGAGAAAACATTTTCTACTTGGCTGTTGAAGATATAGAAACGGACACTGAGCTTCTGATTGGCTACCTGGACAGTGACCCGGAGGCTGACGAGGAAGACCAGGAATTCATGACAGTGATCAATGAAGGGGACGTTGAAAATCCTAAGGAGCAAGTGACAGTCGGTAGCAAAGGTATCATCACTGTGAGACTGATGATTCTTGAAGTACAGTTGCAAATGTGGCTGGATTAGTGTCACACAGTCTGGGATTAGCATAGCCAAGTGAGGTGTCCGTGGTTACTGCTGTCCAGGGGGCCCCAGTTGGGGGCCAGGTACTGGCAACAAGACAGTGTATATGGAACACTGTTGGGACCTGCAGGTCTTGTCCACGGTGGAAGGCAGCTTCTGGCCTTTGCTGGCTGCTCTCCTGCACAATAGTAAAACAGGCCTCAGGACTCTTTCTTTTTTCTTTTTGTCTTTTTGGATTCTACCCGATGATGCTCTGGGGTTACACCTGACTGTGCTCTCAAGAACCACTCCTGGCGGTGCTTGGGGTCCATATGGAATGCTGCGAATTGAACCCCGGTCAACTGGTCAACCACATGCAAGGCTAATGCCCTTCCCACTGTACTGTCACTATGGCCCAGGCCCTGAGGACTCTTGTTCTAGCCTCAAGCCTGCCCTTAGCAGCCTGGAAATGGGGCAGATCACTGCACTGAGCCTTCACTTCCTCATTAGCACGAACAGGGACGTTGAGTGCGGAGGTTCCTAGGGCACTGGGCTCCAGGATTTATTCAAGGCCCTTTCTCATGCTTCTTTGGGATCCTTTGAAAATATCTAGCTCTGGTGACCTTCTCTGAGGTCCGAGGGCAGAATTGCTGCTAGTTTACTCCTCACTTTTCTGGTGACTATTGGTGGAATCAAGTTAGTTAGTCCAGCCCTCAGGGGCCAGAGAGCCTCCCTTGTTAACTGTGGTATTATTGGGCCTGGTTTCTGTGAGGCTGGAGGGAGGGAAATACCCATGTTTTGGCTGACACACAGTTTGTCATGGACTGATTTGGGTCCTCAAAAGTGACACTGGTCTCTTTAGTCGCCTTGGTGGGAATGTTGCTCACAGGAGGTTTTCAGCCCAGCTGGACATCACGGCTGAGGAAGTGTGAATGTTCTCAGAGTTGCCTGGCTTATGCTGTTTCTTAGTGCTGAATTATTTAAGGTGGAAGGCAGGGACAGGCTGTCTTTGATGTTTTTTCACATATGCATTATGCTGTTTGGCATGTCAGATTTTGGATGTTGGGAGTTGTTCATCTCTTCTTTTCATTGTTTCTGCATGTATTTGTTTCTTCATTGTCCTCAGACCATGTTATTTTTGTCCCCTTTTAAAGCTTAAAGAACAGGTATGAGCACTTTATATTTTCTATAGTTAACAAAATGTACATTTTCACCCTTTGTAGAGAGGAGAATACATATGGAAGTTTAAAATAGTTTTTATTGAGGGCCACACCTACGGTGTATGGACTCTACTCCTATTTCAGTGCTTAGTAATAGCTCCATGGTCCTTTGGAGGACCTTGTGTGCCAGGGACAGAACCCAACTTGAATCATATAGAGGTGACCCAGAAACTTAAGATATTATTTATTTATTTATTTATTTTTATTGACTCACTGTGAGATGCACAGTTACAAGGCTGTTCATGATTGGGTTTCAGTCATATAATGTTCCAACCCCCCACCAGTGTATATTTTCCAGCACCAATACCAATGTCCTCAGTTTCCCTCCTGCCATCTCCCCCACCCAACTCTGTCTTTAAGGCAAGCACTTTCGTTCTCTCTCTGCCCCCCTCTCTCTCTCTCTCTCTCTCTCTCTCTCTCTCATGTTTGTTCCTTTACCTACTTGCGGTGGTTCTTATCCAGAGTGATTGTTTCCAACTAGTAACTTAAGATTTTTTAAAACCTTTACATCAGGCACTTAGATTGTTATTTTCAGATTCCACGTTGATCAAATTAAAAACCAAAACAACAAAATACCCACCAAAATCAAAGCAAGTCAGAATCCACCTAACTGCCAGCAAAAGACACAAACTTGTTGCCCGAATGGGTTGATGGAGAATTGGTTATAAAAGTTATGGTACCATAAATTGAAAAAGACAAAATTGGCTTGAGAAAATGTCAAATGGAGAAAAAAGAGTAACTCAATTGCATATTAAGTTTGGTCATCAGTGTAGCTATTCCTGGACGGTGTGTAACTAATGCAGAAGAGACGAGTCACACGCTTGGAAATAGGTTGTTTCTTCATTACGAGATTATTGCTAATGTTTAATTTCTTCAAGTTCTCTACTTAAAGCTGGTCTTAACCTGAATATATGTATATATATATAGGCTGGAGCGATAGCACAAAGGGTAGGGCATATGCCTTGCATGCAGCCAACCTGGTTTTGATTCTTCTGCCCCTCTCAGAGAGCCCGGCAAGCTACTGAGAGTATCTCGCCCTCTGGCAAAGCCTGGAAAGATATCTGTGACCTATTCAACATGCCAAAAACAGGAACAACAAGTCTCACAATCTGTTGTGAGACGTTACTGGTGCCCACTCGAGCAAACTGATGATTTAGGGGCAGAAAGAGCAAGTATGGTGGGAAGGGTGCTTGTCATGTGTGTGGCTGACCTAAGTAGTTTGATCCTGGCATCCTCCATGGTCCCCTGAATGCCAAAAAAAGTGATTCCTAAGTGCAGAGCCAGGAGTAAATCCTGAGCATGGCTGGGTGTAGTCCCCAAATATGTAATTTAAATTGTGCACATGAGAAATGCGAGGTGAGCCATATCTGTCCATATGGCACTGAAGTGCAGAGGAACAGTGGCTCGATGCACTTCCTGGAGTGCACGTCCATGACCTAGGTCTGTCCACACACATGCACATGCACACTTGCACACGCACAGGCTCCCAAACAGGTGCATGCAATTCCTTAGTCTTTCCAGATTATTTTCTCCATTTTTTTCCTCCCCATCACACAGCAAAATATGAACTTAACATGAAGCATTCCAGGGAAGACTTAGGTCTCCCAATGTTTTTTTTTTTTTTGAAGTCTCCTATATAACAGGTTAGCATTATTGAATAAAATAGAATTTGACTCTGAGATTTTTAGTACCCCCTTTTTAGTGACTTATTAGTTCCCAACTCTGTAAGGTGTTTCAAAGGTAGAGCTTAATATCTCTCTGTGTATGGGGAAATACCCATGTATGCTTTTATTTATAAAAGAAATGAGTACTATGGTGAAACAAAATACTTTGGAAAATAACTCATTTCTCATTAGTGACACTTGCTTTAATGGTCACTATTACTCATGAACAGAATGTGAATTTCTAATCTGAAAGCATGAAAAGCAACTTTTTTTAAAAGGAGGGCAGAACTGAGGACTTCTTGGTTATCACTCTGACTCCTGCATCTGTTTCCTTCCCCTGTGCAGATGGTTCTCGAGGCAGAGAGGACCATGCCTGTCCCCAGTGTGAATCCACTTTCCCCAGCAAGACCATCCTGGCAGAGCATCTTCAGACCTTGCACCAGAAGCCTACAGAGGAGAAGGAATTTAAGTGCAAGAACTGCAGGAAGAAATTTCCAGTAAAACAGGCTTTGCAAAGACAGTGCGTACCATAAAAACCAAAAAATCTAACAAAAAAAGTTTAAAATTAGATGCTCTTTTGTTTAGAGTCTCACAGTTTCATTGGGTCACAGAGTTGCTAGCTTGTGTGAGGTGTGTGGGTTTAAGATGGGGAGAAATGAATTATTCTCATGTACATCAGCTAAGTGTCATATTTTGAATCTTAAAACATTCTGATTATGAAGTTTAACAAAAACATGTTTATGGTAATGGGCCTTTGTCCACTTTCTAACTTGCCTCTAAATATCAAGCTCATTTGTTTATCTGAAATAGGCATGATTTTGCTAGTGTTGGGGAGTGACAGATAAGTTTCGTTCATCTGTATTAGATATTCCTTCTGCAGTGAACATAAGAAATGTTTAATAAGTGAAGAAAGTTCCGAGTATAATGGAAACAGGGACATTTGGATAGTGTATTTTCTTTTTATGGCAGTTTTCCATAGCATTTTTCTTTAAATGAGGAATCATTTATAAAATGAGTAGTTTCAGGACACGATGATTAGATTAACCAGATGATATCACACAGTGTTCTGCATCCTTCATTATTCTGTTTATAGTAATCTCATATGACATTATGTATTATAAAAGGTGAGAAACTGGACACATTTATAAACATCTTGACAGAATGTCACTATACATTTGAACAAGAAATCTGTGACATCTTAATGCTTAATTTTTCTTGAGAAATTTTCTGAAATAGGCTATATTTTGTTTTAGGACTGTTTTCAGATATACTCTGTATCCACTTTTGCTTATGAAATTTGAGATGGAGAAGTTTGCCTGGAACTTAATAAAGCTTTCATAACAGCAAGAGATTAAACCTTTGGAAATTAGATAATAGGCTCTGAAAAAAACCAGCCAAGGGCTGTATCCTTTCTGATGAATGGACTCTAACTTGTGTTCTCATCAGCTTTTGTTGAGTGCAGTGTTAATGATTTTACATAAAAGATTCTACTGCTACGCTGGGCCTTAAGTGAGACGCTACCCAGAGATTGAAAGAGCATGAAACAAGGGATCAGGAAGATGTTTTCATTTAAAGAAGAGATCCATTTCTCAGATTTGGTCTCAGACTTTGGGTTTTTTCTTCTCCCCACCCCTATCCTCTTTAATTCCCTTCCAGCATTCTTCACTGCAAAGCGAAAAGCAGCCCGAAGGATTCTTCTCGAAGTTTCCAGTGCTCTGCGTGCAATGCTTCCTTCAGTTCTGAACCGAGGTTTTATGTCTCAGTTATCAGGGGACTCTGATACCCTGGGTGGGGGACCCAGTTTTGCATGCCTGCTTTATTGCTGCTTAGGACTGGTGCCCCAGGAGCCAGGGCTCCAGCAATTCAAGACTCTCCTTCAACCCCGTTAAAATACGCCCACCATTTCCTTGCTGGGGGAGCCTGATTCCCAAAAGGCTGCCTGTTTGGGGCTGGAGCTGTGTGGTCCTCACCACTTCTAAGCCCTGTCTCCCTTTCCCGATTGTCTCGTAGTTTTGAGCAGCACCAGGAAACTTGCCCCGGAGATGCCCGGTTTGTGTGCAAGGTCGACAGCTGTGGGAAGAGGCTAAAGAGCAAGGATGCCCTGAGAAGACACCAGGAAAACGTTCACGCGGGTGAGAAGTTGAGGGCGAGTGCCTTGCAGGAGAGTGCGTGTGTGTGTGTGTGTGTGTGGGGGGGGGGTGTTCCTCCCCATGGACCTCTGGGATCTGGTTTCAATCCTTCCTCCAGCAGAATGCTTGGTTTTGCTTTTTCCATTGTGCCTTGCACAGATGTGGTACTCTGGCTGTGGGGCTTTGCCTTTCACCAAGCACTATTTCTTTTTCAAGTGGATTTCAGCAACCTTTGTCATTTTTCCTATCTCTGGATTCATCAGGGCTGCCAGCCTCAGCTAGTTGGGCTAGTTTAGTTGGGCCCTGGACTTGTCTGCATCAAGAATTAACATTTTTCAGTGATCCAAACTCGTAAACTTTCTCTTCGGGCAGAGATCACTAAAGTTACGAAGCAGACGCTTCTGCTTCGCTAGTTTTACGGTCGCGTTTGGTTTCAAAAGATGCTTGTGTTTCTCTTATTGGGAGGAAATTCCTGACTGCATTTTGATGTGGGGATTGAATGTGTTTGGATTAATAAAGCAGACACTATTTGAATTCCTTCTAATGGCTAGCTAAACAATGAAGCAATTATAACATTTGACTGTCACTTAGATTTCATCTGCTCAGCACATGGTAAATGGATTTTTGTGTCGGGATTGAATCGATTATGTCGAGCAGATGCGCGAGTGTCAGAGTTAACTTTCTACTTCCTCCTGTCTTGCTCAAAAAAGGCTGAAGTTCATGCAGCTTCTCACACCCTCCTGGGCCTCTTCTCATCTTGGGGGGTTCACTGTTGCCCCGGGTTTGGGGGAGTCCAGGAGAAAGGCATGTCTCAGGATGCGAGGTCGATTTCTCCCATCCTATTTGCTCTGCCCCTGAGGGGTAAAGGGTGTGGGGGCAGTGTCTGGTTCCTGTGTGTGCTCATTTCCCAAACAGCATCCTCCAGACCTGTTCACGAACTGGGAGCCACATGCAGACTTTAGTGGCAGGTCCCTTCAGCTTGTAGAAGTCCCTTCTGACTTCTTCTTCTTCCAGAGACTGTAAGGCTGATTCAGGAAAGATGGCATTAAAAGAAAAAAAATTATTTTTCAATGAGCCTGGGGCCTTCCCTGTGCTGGCAAAAGGGAAGCATAACCTTTTTTTTTTGGATAGACCTGTCTTCCTTGTCTATTTAAGCTATTATATGTAAAATGCTGTTCTTAATTTTTTCCATCTTTGTCTGCAATGTATTAGAACAAATCTTTCATGTCAATTTTAAAGTTAACTTTGCTGAACTAAGTAAAACACCAGATGCAAACTGAAACTCTGGAAACTTGCTTTCTTGTTATTAAGCATATGGTCTTCAGGCTGTGCTAGAGTATAATTTCTTTGAGGCTTCTTGTAATTGGCCAGGGATATTATGATATTACTGATTCTGGAAATTCATGGTGATTTTTGAAGAAAATAATTTCTAAAAGGAAGTTTTTTATTTTTCTGTGCTCCAATCCTATAGAAGGTGAAACTTACTGTATTTCAGCCAAAGGTCACCGGGTGGACTTTTGGCTGGGTTTGGTACAGTCTGTCATTTGTGGTCTCTCTCGTCTCTCCGCTTTTCTCTGTGAGCTGAGTTTCGGGAAAGTATATCTCACATTCGGTAGAGCAAGCAAGACAGTATTTGTACAAATGGTTGTAGAATATTTACTGTAGGACAGCAAAGGTAGACAAGGGAAGAAAATACCCAGGAGCTTTGACCACTGATGATAAATACTCCTTGTTAGGTGATTGGAATTGAAGATGCTGAGACGAGACTGGTGTGTGTGTGTGTGTGTGTGTGTGTGTGTGTGTGTGTGTGTGTGTGTGTGTACTTTTTTGTATTTGGGTAATGTAAGTTTACATGATTGTCACTAGTTATGTCTTAGGGACACAGTTTTGGATCTCTTCTGAATCTGTGTCATCATATGACACCCGCCACCAGAAAACTTCACCCCCCACCCCAGTCCACGGGACCCAGTTTCCCTTCAGAAACCTCAGCTCTGTGGTCAGACTCCAAGGGCTGGCTTTTGTTGGGCTTTGTCGGTTCCCTTGCTTCTTCTCTCTATCGCACATGAGATCATCTGGTATTTATTTTCTGACTTCACTGAACACGCCCCCTCAAGCTCCATCCATGTTGTCACAAAAGGCAAGATTTCTGTTTCTTTTTTTTTTTTAATCTTTCTGGGAATGGGGACCTCCCAAGCAGTGCTCAAGGAACCCAATGACAGTCACCTTCGACAGATGATTCAATGCTAAGGTTCTTCCACCGGGCTACAATCTAGCTTTGCTGGGGGGCCTCCAACAAGCAAAGCTGGCAGCACCTGGGGGCATTATGGCAACTCCCATTCATACTGGAGGCTCATTAGGAACTTGGTGCCAGGAATCAAACTCTAGTCCCCATGGTTGCAGGACCTGAGCCCCTGGCCTATGAGCTTTCTCCTGACCTAGGATTTTGTTTTTTTTTTAAGGCACCATTGTATTCTGGGCTGGAGCAATAGCAGAGTAGGCAGGGCATTTGCCTTGCACATGGCTGACCTGGGTTCGATTCCTCTGTTCCCCTTGGAGAGCCCGGCAAGCTACCGATAATATCCCGGCCACTCGGCAGAGCCTGACAATCTCCCTGTGGCATATTCAATATGCCAAAAACAGTAACAAGAAGTCTCACAATGGAAATGTTACTGGTGCCCACTGGAGCAAATCAGTGAACAACAGGAGAACATTGCTACAGTGCAGTGCAGTGCTACCGTTGTATTCTATTGACTCTTTGGACTGAATCTTTTTTTTTTTAATTTTATTAGTGAATCACTGTGAGGTACAGTTACAGGCTTACAAACTTTAATGCTTGCATTTCAGTCATACAGTGATCGAGTACCCATCCCTTCACCAGTGCCCATTTCCCACCACCAATGGTCCCAACATCCCTCCTACCACCCCCACCTTGTCCCCTCCACCCTACCCCGCTCTCTTTTGCTCTCTCTCTCTCTCTCTCTCTCTTTTGGGTGTTGTGGTTTGCAATAGAGGTATTAAGTGGCCATCATGTTTGGTCTATAGTCTACTTTCAGCCCACATCTCCCATCCCGGGCGGGTCCTCCTAGCATCTTTTACTTGGTGGTCCTTTCTCTATCTGAGCTTCCTTTTCCTCCAGTATGTCAGGCTGGCTTCTAAGCTGTGGAGTGATCCTTCTGGTACTTATCTCTACTATTTTTGGGTGTTAGTCTCCCGTTCTATTATTTTATATTCCACAAATGAGTGCAATCTTCCTATGTCTGTCTCTCTCTTTCTGACTCATTTCACTTAACATAATTCTCTCCATGTAGATCCACCTATATGAAAATTTCATGACTTTATCTTTTCTAACAGCTGCATAATATTCCATTGTGTAGATGTACCAAAGTTTTTTAATTCAGTCATCTGTTCTGGGACACTTGGTTTTTTTCCCCCCAGATTTTGGCTGTTGTAAACAATGCTGCAATGAACACATAAGTACAGATGTTATTACTACTATACTTTTTTGCATCTCTGGAATCTCTTCCCAGAAGTGGTATTGCTGGGTCAAATGGGAGCTCAGTTTCTAATTTTTTGAAAATTGTCCATACTGTTTTCCAAAAGGGCTGAACCAGTTGACATTCCTACCAGCAGTGAAGGAGAGTTCCTTTCTCCCCACATCCATGCCAACACCTGTTGCTTTTGTTTTTTTTTTTTTTTGGATGTGGGACAGTCTCTGTGGTGTGAGATGATATCTCATTGTTGTTGTGATTTGTATCTCCCTGATGATTAGTGATGGTGAGCATTTTTTCATATGCCTTTTGACCATTTGGATTTCTTCTTTGAGAAAATTTCTGTTCATTTCATCTTCCCATTTTCTGACGGGGTTGGATGTTTTCTTTTTGTGTTGTTCATCCAGTGCCTTGTAAATCCTTGATATTAACCCCTTATCAGGTGGGTATTGGGTGAATATCCTTTCCCATTCTGTAGATTGTCTTTGTATTTTTGTGGACTGAATCTTTTAAAACTTCCTATCTGCCATTGAATGCTCGGGATGTTTCCATTCTCTGCAGTCTGAAACAGAGGCCTTGAGATGAGCTAGATTTTAAATTGTGAGTCACATGCGTCCATTTTCTCATGCTTCTCCAAGCTCCTACAGTGATATGAATTCTGAACTCTACAGTGATATGAGTTCTGCTTGGGAAGCAGAACCTGCAAGTCAGATGTCTAGGCTTAGCTGCTGACAGGAAAATGCAAGTAGGGAAAGATCCAATTATGACTTTGTGGGTGCTGGTGGGTTGTGAGAACCTTCCCGGTTACCCATGAGGCCACAAGGAGAGGGAGAAGGACTCACTTCTTAGCTTTCCCTTTGATTTTTGTGGGTGCTAACCAAGTGCTTTCTGTGTTTATTGGAGATAGCATTTCTCTCTGCTTTCAGGTGAACGTTTCTAAACTTGCTCTGCATTTCTTTTCCAAGGACCTAGGATTTTGTTCTTTGGGAAGAGAAAAACTTGGGGGGCAGGGAATGAGCAGAGATAGAGCAGAAAGGCAAGAGGTGGTTTGGTGTCAAGTCTCATTCCTCTTAGGGGGAGGAGGAGGCAGTTGGGATTATGGAGTTAATGAGGGAGAACCCAGGTAGTGAGAGCTGGAGAAGGAAATATTCTCAGCAGTTCCCCACACACAGCACATTTGTATTGAAGTGGCCAGCTCTTTTGATTGGGGGAGAATTTTCTCCTCTAGTTGCCGTATCATTAGTTGTTCACCTTGAAAACAGTTTCTTCACTCCAGTGATTATTGGGAGGGCATGAGCAATGGACTGTTTTTACTGATCAGTGAGCCCATGCGGAGGACTTGACATTCCAGTTTTATTTTTTTCCTTTACTGGGGAACTTTACTGGTTTCCCTTTGTTGGAAGCTGATGGATTGGGTTGAGCTGAGAACAAAACTCCAAGCCCTCTTGTCTTCCTCACCTCTGCCTCAGCTCTGTCCTTTCTGTTCCCCAGTCACCTGCCTCTTTTCCAGTGGCCCACACTGGAACTTAAGGTAGTGGGGGTGGGAGCACGTTGCAGCTTGTCTGTCGTATTTAGCGCATTAAAAATAATGAGGCATATGAAATATGCATCTTGACCAATAGGATGAAAAAAGTCAACAACAATGTGTTTTTCTTCTTTGAAGCTTTTTGGGGGTACTATAACTGGGAGTCAAACCTGCCACATGCAAAGCAAGATAGCCCTTTGAGCTATCTCCCCAGCCCTAGCTATACATTAAAAAGAAATCTACAAAAATACAAACCTGCACCAAGTACCCATAATGGAGAGGAAATGTACGAACACAGGAAAAAGACAGCAGATTTGACCAGCATCGCTGGCGTTGTATGCCCTTGGGTTAGGTTTCGAACAGATTAGCTATCATCAGCTTCCAGGATAGAGGAGTAAACATCCACTGGCTGAACCTTCTGCATAGCATATAGAGCTGTTGTTTTGGAGCTAGACTGATAATACCATGGGTAAGGAGCTCTCCTTTCACACAGTCAACCTGGGTTTGATCCCTGGTGCCCCATATAAACCCCGGAGCCCCCAGGAGTGATCCCTGAGTGCAGAACCAGGAGTAGGTACTGGGTGCTGCTGGGTATGCCCCCTCCCAAAGAATCTTTCTTTTATAAACATTCTCATAATCAAATAAAATCATCTAAGATCATGTAATATTATTTTTGATATATTGAATTTGCCTCAAATGATAGAGAAGGTAGAGAGTGGTGTGGAAGAGTTGAGGCTGGAGGAGATATAGACATGGATCAGTCATTATTGTGGTAGGTGATGGGGATAGGATAATTCACTATAGTTTTTGTTGACATTTTGTATATTTGAAATCAATCAGCTAAAACCCCAGGACTTGAGAGCTAGCTCAACCAGGACTGGAGTGTTTGCTTCGCAGGCAGTAGGTCTGGATTCAGGCTATAATATGGTCCCTTGAGCATTACCAGCTATTACCTCCACTCTCCCCAGGAAACAAAGCAAAACAAATATTAAATAAACATTATTTGTACTATTGCTGATACCATGATTTCCAGCCCATCACATTTGAAAGAAAAGCTTCGCATCTTTTTTAATAATGACTGTGAAATTTCAAATATGAAATGAGCTACTACTAAGATAATCAGTAATAATGTAAAATTGATCTTTGTTTGGATTTGTATGATTGTCAACATGTTTTATGGTGCTTGACTTTTATTTGAAACATTAATGTGATATTAATGACTTGCTCATAGATTTTGTAGGAGTTTAGTGTTGGAAAGAATAATTAGTTAATTAATTCCATATAAAAAACCCAGCTGTGGAAACTAGAGAGACAGCACGGAGTAACACTGGTTTTGCATGTGGCTGACCCTGGTTTAATCCTTAACATCAGTGAGCTTTGTTGGATGTAGCCTGGAACCAAACAAAAAATACATTTCAGCTGATAAAGTAAAATTTCCTGTTAAAATGTAAAGGTGATAGTAAAATGAGCTGATCTTATGAATTACTCTAATTTTTTTACTTGATGCTCATATTTTCTCTTTGAATGTCATGCAAGTGTGCTTTTCTTCTTTAATATGGAATTAGTATCTGGAAAAGCAGAAGGCCTGTTTTTCTTATGTTTGATAGTGGCAAAGCTTGATGAAGTTTTTGCAAATTTAAAAAACATGCATGGTGCCTTGAGATTGATCCCTAGCACCAAAAGCAAAAACTAAAACCAGCCAAATAAAAGACTCTGGCTTTTTATCTGAGTTTAGTGAAGGGATTAACAACACTTAAAATGTAAAGTTCTATTTTATGGAGATGAGATACCTGTTTAGAAATTCAATATCATCTGAAACACAGTGTCAGATGACCCTTTGACTATTTCCATTTAAATCACAGTATGTTGTTTTTCTTTTAGGAGATCCAAAGAAAAAGCTCATATGCTCAGTATGCAACAAAAAGTGTTCTTCATCTTCAAGTCTGCAGGAACATAGAAAGGTTAGTAAAGGAATCATTAATGTTTATCGGAGTGTAAGCTCTTACCATCTAGAGTGTCCAATATAAATCTTTAAGCAATTTTTAAGCTAAGACAAAGCTTTTTAATAAAGTGCATGAAAGATATGCAGAAAAGTAAACATTGAAAAGAATATTTTGGGTTGGTTGTTGTAGAAGTGTTCTTCCATGCGAAGGCTCATGTCTAAACTAGTCGTTTGCTCTAATACTTCATCCTGTTTTCAGGCTTTGTTAGTTACTGTTTGCGAAGCAGTTACTGTAAATATTTCTAATACACACTATAGTGGCATTTAGCTAATAAGTGGGATGCATATTTTGATCTCCGCACACATGAAGGTACTGGCAGAGGGACAAAGCCACGTGGGTTCCGGGGCCAAGACCTCCAAGCCTACTCGAATTGGAGTCGAGCATCTTCCACCCAGATCCTCCAAATTCCAGTAGGCGAGTGTCACACCCACCACCTGGCCCCCTGGTGCCGTGTAATCCCATCAGCGGCCAAGACTCAGAGACTATAAAATCCAGATCCCGGAACCGCGCGGCCGCATTCGCGGCCGCGCGACATCTTATCAGAACTTTTTTTTTATGACATCTTATTGTCTCATTCCTACTTTGGACAAACTTGCAGGCTATCGAATGTAGCCTGCCCACAGGGCAGAGTCTGGCAAACTCCCCGTGGCGTACCAAATATGCCAAATACCAGTAACAATGATGGGTCTCATTCTCCTAAAGAGCCTTGAATATAATCTCAGGGCTAGGATGAAAGAGACGTTACTGGGGCCTGCTCGAGGCAATCGACGAATAACAGGATGATGAAATGAAATGAAATGAAATATTTTGAAGAACTAAAAATTATGTACAAGTATGTCAGCAGTATCAGCAAAAAAACATAATTATATTGGGAAACAATACTTAATGGATTTTGTTACAAGTATAAACTTGACTAAGTTGTTATTCTCATTTGAAAAAGTAATCTGAATGATAAGTGAGTTATTTTTAACCATAATGATATTAGCAACTAGTTGTTAGTAAAGTAAGTAAAGTAAAGACCCTCCCATTGATCATCGATTTGCTTGAGCGGGCCCAGTAACGTCTCCATTGGAGACTTTGTTGTTACTGTGTTTGGCATATCGAATATGTCACGGGGAACTTGTCAGGCTCTGCCGTGCGGGCGAGATACTCTCGGTAGCTTGCCGGGCTCTCCGAGAGGGGCGGAGGAATTGAACTTGGGTCGGCCATGTTGGCTGCATGCAAGGCAAACGCCCTACCGCTGTGCTATCGCTCCAGCTGTTAAATTGTTGTTAAATTGTTGTTAAAACAGTTGTTAAATTGTTCCATAAAACTGAAATGGAATTTAGATTTTTGTTCATATTATGTCAGAGTCCAAACATTTCATATTACTTCAGCCAAGACATAAGTGGCCATTTCCTAATTTTATGGATAGTTTTTCAAAATATCTAGAAGCATGTAATATCTTCTGCTAGAGATTTAATTAATACACAAAAAGAGTGCTGATGGTACTAGTAATGGTACTTTTCCTATAATTTGTAAGATGGATTTTGCTATTCATTTTGTATATAGGTTATTCCAAGAATAACTTGACATTATTTAAAAATAATTTGACATTCAACCTTATCGCTCCACCCATGTGCTGTGAATTTGAACTCTGACATAGGAAACAAATAAATTATGAAGCTGTTTGACTAAAGTTACAAAGTGATTTTGTCCTTTGGGGACAAAAAAAAATAGAAAAGTACTGGACAGTCAGGGAAGTGGTTGTCTTCATCACTTAGCCTCCAGGTGACCTTGAGGTTCTGTTTCTCATCTGTGAGATGTGCCATTGAACTGCTCATGTTTTTCTCTAAGTGACACGAGACTCCTTTTTCTCCTGCATTTTTGCAAGTGATTACTTTATCAAATTGTTTGAAAGTAGAGAATATTTCGTGAATTTACAAATAATTTGTGTATATGGGCCATGCTAATCCTGTCTTGAATTATCCCACTCTTAAAGTGTGCTCTGCAAGGAAGCATTGAAAATACTTTTAGAAAATGTTTTTCTAGAACTCTGATCCAGGCTCTTTCTCCAAGAAGGGCATTCTCCTTCCCATCCATAACCCTCGTTTCTGAAGCAAAACTGTAGTCTGAGATAAAAAAGAACATCCGATAGAGTTGGCATTTTTAAATATAAATAAACTATTTTATAATTATATACTTTATTTCTTCTGATCTCTTTAAATTGCAGATCATTTATGAAATTTAAAGCTTTACCAAATTGATTGTTTCAGCAAAGTTGATTGTAACTGTGTTAGTAGATCAAAATCCTATCTTGCAGTGGCTGGAAGTTGTCTCTATAGACTGTTAATTAACTGAGAAACGCAACACCTCCTCCATCACAGTCTTGCTCCCTCTTTCGTCTAGAACACTTCAGAATTGATTGTCAGTGTTTACTCAACTTCATTTTGTCACTCTAGTTGGGTGTGTGGATGATGTCTGAGTTTGGTTGCAGTATTTCACCTTGCCAGTAGATGGTGCTTTCTGAATATACCTAATTGCATTATAGCCTAATACAGAATTTATCATTACTATCCAATTGTATATTATTTATATTACTATATATGTATATATGTTGTCCTTCTTGAAAATTATTTTTATTTGTGACAAGATTATACATTATTCTCATATCAAATTCAAAAACATTACACTTTAAAAAAATGCATTAATTAACATTCAACATCACCTGTCACTTTTACTTTAGCTTGATTGTTTTACTAAACCTCCGTTGGTCATTTTTAAGATAGCTTTGGATTGAATTTTTAAGTATAAATAAGATAGTGCAAAAATATTTTCATATCCAGAAATGCTCTATTTTATAAATTAGGTGACATTAGTTCATAAAATCAAAGACAAAGAATAATAGAACAGAGTAGCCTTGAAATAAACCCATGCACTTATAGCCAATTTATGATGAGGAAGTAAGAATATACAACTGGAAAAGATCAGACTCTTTAATAAATGTTGATGGGAAAATTGTATGGCCACATGCAAAACGAATGGAACTGGACCACATTTGTATCATACACAGAAATTAACTCTAAATGTCTATAAAAATTAACATAAGGCCCGAACCCATAAAACCTCATTGGTAAATTCCTTGATGTCATTCTTGTAATATATTTTTGGATCTGACTCCAAAGAAAGGGTTGGGGAAATAAAGCAAAGCATACCAATAGGATTATAACAAACTATACATATGGCCAAGGAAACCATCAACCAAAGAAATAACAGGTTGATGATCTGAGAGAAATTATTCCTAAAACATTTATAAGTCAAGGGGTTGATATCCAGTATATATAAAGAACACATTCAACTCCATAAAAAATTGATTAAAAATATCCAGAGGAGCTAAGTAGATTTCAACCCCCCCAAATATGCAACTGTCCAGTATACACACAAAAATATGCTCAATATCCCTATACTTCAGGGAAATGAAAATCAAAATCACAAGGAGAGAGCAATTGAATTTAACCTTAAAAAATGTTTATATGCTATCAGAGCTAATGAATGAGTCCTCTTCTGTAGAATTTTGTTCCATAGTTACCCTTTTACATATGGATTGTTGTGTAAAATTCTATATTATAATAAAAAGGGGAGGGGAACCCTTCAGACAAACCTTGTTCTTGTCCCTGGCCTACTTGTGTCCTGTAGATACTGCAGTTGTAGGTTTTTGGTACCCGTATTAAACAAATCTGGTAGTGCCAGTGTTTACAGCAACATATGTTGACTTCATGTCTATATCACAGAAATATTTCCAACTTTTTCATTATTCAGTTATGTTGAACTGTTTTCAGTTACCTTTGATGTGACTACTATAAGAGTTTTGAGGTGTCATGAACTGCTCCCTTATGAAAATAGCATCTTTATTGTTAATGTTATGTTCCACTGACATTTCCCATCTCTTTGGACTTCCTTGAGAAAGCAGCACTGAAATTAGGCCATTTGGTCCCCTTCAGTGGCCCTCCAAAGGAGAGGAGGTTTCCTCTTAAAGGCAAAAGCTAGAAGTTATCAAATTTAGTATGTCATCAAACGTATGTAGAAGGCTCAGGCTGGCTGAAAGCTAGGCTTCTTGAAACAGCCAAGTTTTGAAGGCAAAAACAAAAAATGCTTTTGAAAGAAATTAAAAAGATGTCTCCAGGGGCCTAAGTGATAGTGCAGTGGGGAGGGTGTTTGCCTTGCACACGGCCTACCTGAGTTCAATTCCGGCATCCCATATTGTCCACCAGTACCTCAAGGAATAATTCCTGAGTGCAGAGCCAGGAGGAACCCCTGAGCATCGCCAAGTGTGACCCAAAAAGCAAAATATATATCTCCAGTGACCCTCTGAATGAAAATGTGAACAAAAGACAAGTCAGCCATGACACTACCATAGGCCAACACCTAAAGCAAGTCAGGTGCTAAATCCCATTAATCCTAGGAAGGCCTAGAGAATCGAGAAAACTGCATTTGAAAAGCTTGAAGCCAGCAGAGGTTGGTTCGTGAAGGTTAAGGCAGAAGGCGGCATCCTCTCAACAGGATGCCAGGTGACACAGCAGGTACTGGTAGAGAAGCTGCAGCAAGTTCTCTAGTGAAAGTCCTTGTTGAAGGACTTATTCACAGGCTTTCAGTGTAAACAGAACAGATGACTACTGAAGTCACTTTATAAAGGCACAGATAGCTTTAAGTCCAAGTCGGTGCTCCCTTATCTTTCCTCAAATTTGGGATCCATAACAATTAAGCTAAATTTTCTCTTTCTGGGCTTTGTAAATTGAACACCAAAGCCTGACTGACAACTCAAATGTCTCTAACATGATTTCGCTGAATGTTTTCAACTCATTGCTGAGACCTACTGCTCAGAAAAAAACAACATAGAAGTGGGTTTGCTGATGTAAAAATAATGTCATGTATAGACTGTTGATTTTTCAGTGATGCCACCTGAAAATGGTAGGAGTATATAAACTATGAGATTATGCAGTAGAAATGAAGAGATTTGGTTGAAAATAGTTCTTCTCATGAACTTACCTGGTCCCTAGAGATCTGTTGGAGACACCAAGAGGCTAATTTTGTTTTCATACTACTCATCGAACACCCATTTGGCCTTTAGATCAGGAGCAATTTTGGCTTTTCATTCTTATTTAAAAAACCACATGTTGTAATGCTAGAGAGATTGGACAGCTGGTCGGGCACTTGCCTTCTACTCGGCAAACCTAGATTTCATCTATGGCATCCCATATGGTCTCCTATACACTGCCAGGAATAATTCCTGGGAGTAACCCCTGAGCATTGCTGGGTGTGGCCCCAAACATTATATACATTATATATATACATATATACAGTATTATATACATTATGCATATATATATAGAGAGAGAGAGAGAGCACTGTCCTGTAGCACTGTCCTCTCGTTCATCGGGCACCAGTAACATCTCCGTTGTGAAACTTGTTACTGTTTTTGGCTTATTGAATACTCCACAGGGAGCTTGCCAGGCTCTGTTGTGCGGGTGGGATATTCTCAGTAGCTTGCTGGGCTCTCCAAGAGGGATGGAGGAATTGAACCCTGATCGGCTGCATGCGAGGCAAACGCCCTACCCGCTGTGCTATATTATATATATATATATATATACACATATATACATTATACATACTATATGTATAGTATATATAGTATACACATATGCTTTTTATATTTTTAAATAAAATATGCTTTTCATTATATAGTGTTGGAGCGGTAGCACAGCAGTAGGGCATTTGCCTTGCGCGCAGCTGGCCAGCCTAGCGGGTTCGATTTCTCCTCCTCTCTTGGAGAGCCTGGCAAGCTACCGAGAGTATCTTGCCTTCACAGCAAAGCCTGGCAAGCTCCCCGTGATGTATTCGGTATGCCAAACACAGTAACAACAAGTCTCACGAGGGAGACATTACTGGGCCCGCTCGAGCAAATTGATGAAACAATGGGAGGACAGTGCTACATTATATAGTAAGCCTATGTCTGCCATAGATAGGAATTCCTCCAATGAGGAATTGTCCTTTCAGGTCTCTGCTCGTGAAAGTGACCCGGGAAACACCTGATGAGGTGTCAGGTCTCTAGGAGAACCAGACCCTTGATTAGAGGTTTGGCCCTCGGAGAGCGGAATGTTTGGGAGTTGGTCATTTGCCATTGAGTAATCGGTTGTGCCCAAATAACGAAGCTTCCGTAAACACCAAAAGAAGGAACTTAGTCTCTGGTTTGGGAAGGTTCCTTCTGCGGAGGGGATAGGAACTCTGCACCCTTTCCAATATCTCACTCTACACGTTTCTTCCACCAAGCTGTTCCTTAATAACATGCTTTGTAATAAGCCACTTACTAGGGAGTAAACAGACATTCCTGTGGTCTGTCAATCACAGGGCAAATTATGCAAACTGGAGTCGGTGTCCTGGGAACCTCTGATTTGGGGGTCAGAAGCACAGGTGCAACCCGCATGCACAGCCTGCGTCTGAGGTGGAGGGCCCTCCTGGGAGGCGGAGCCCTTCATCTTGTGGAAGTGGAAGTTATCTTGAGGGAGATTGTGTCTAACTTAGTCGAATTCTCAGACACCCTGATAATGTCTGAGAATCGTCTGTCAGAAGGGAGGAGCCCTTCCAAGGTGGAAGTAGCAGGGATCTGGAATTAGAAGTGGACCCTGAAGGGGTGGGTCACTGAATTGCTGTTATTTGTGCTTAAACCTGGTTGGGTCAGTTGCTTCTCAGTGATGAGCAAAAAAACAAAACAAAACAAAATAAAACAAAAAAACCGTGGTTCCTAATGCCTGTCAAGACCCTGAGCACCACTGAAAATGCAACAGAGAATAAAGGAAGATGACAAAGGAGTGGGAAATATCGCCTTAAATTTAGCTGATACACAAGTGGAAGGACTTGAGAGGATTGATTACAATTTTGAAACAAGTTCTACTGAACACCTCTGCATGCCGCAGAGAAGTCTTTCATAAAGGAAAATGCGAGTGATTTGGCAGATTTCATCAGTTATATTCCAGTTAAAATTTTTAAATTTTTAACAATTTTTAATTAATGAACTTTTTTAAAAAATGAAAATAATATGCATTTTAAAAGATGTAACATTATTGCACCTTTAATAGGCTATAGCTTGTTTCAAACAGGACTTTTATATGGACTGGGAAACCCAAAATTTTGGGTGATTTATTGTGAAATTCAAATTGCCTTATTGGGGTGCTCTGGAACGGTACCCACAATATTTTAGGGACATATCTGTGAATGTATTTGTATTTGACTTGAAGGTTTAGCACTTTTGAGGAGACTCTCTGGTACTATAAAAGTTCTCCATCTTTAAACATTAAATATCATATTATTGTTCATTAAATATATATGTTCTACCTAAGCCACTGATAGTTGATAGTTGAAGAGACATTTTCGTCTTGGACCGAAAGTTTTATGTACTGTACTCTTGTGAAACTTGACTTCTGAATACTTGCTGAGAGCCTGCTTTCTGGGGACCAATACAACCTCCGGGTTCTGTGTATCCTCTTACTGAGTTACTTTCCACTCCATCCTGTGGAATACTATCTTCCTTCTCTGCTTGGTTTCTCTTCTTCTACTCTTCTTCATTATTTCAAAAAACAATACAAACAAAAGTTTTGGTTTTTGTTGGTCACACTTCATGAGGATCAGGGGTTACTTCAGGAATTCCTCCTGGTGCTGTTCAGGGGACCATATTATATGGTATGCCAGGGAGGAAACCTGGGTTGGCCACGTGGAAGGCAAATGCCCTAACCACTGCACTGTCACCCTGGCTCCCTCTTTACCCCTGCTTCTTGCAGCTGAGCTGGCACCTCCAGAGTCAGATCCGACAGAGAAGAGGGCAGGTGGGAAATCAGAGCCACCCTACGGTGGGGCATAGGATTAAGGCCCAATCACAGACCTGCAATCTCTCAGCCTTTTCCCCAGTTGCCCCTCCTGTCCCTTGAGTTCTTCTGGCCACTTAGACCCAGGGAGCCTAGAGCTAGGAGCCGTTGTCACTGAGTGCTGGTGCAGGGAGGTTCTCTGCTTTGATTTTTCACTCTCAAGTGGTTTCACCCTACCTCCATCTGCCCCCCAACCCCGCACGCCCTTTTCCCCCAATCCCCACCCCAAGGGATGTCCTTGGTGCTTTGGTTTCCCACAGAAGAAACTTGTCTGGATTTAATGCTGTGGGTTTTGCCTAAAATGAAGCTGAAAACAAAATGTGACTTCACCAAAACCGTTTCTGAAATGTATTGGTGCTCATTAAGGATAATCAACACTCCCAGTATAATATTTCTTGCCATTTATTCCTCCTAGAACTTTGTATGTAGTTTCTGATAACACATTCAGCGTAGCCTTCTCATGCAATTCAGTTCATTTCTTTGATTTAGTGTCTGGGAGGCAATAACCAAGGTTAATATTCGGTTGTGTTTTATATTAACCAATGGTTTGCCTGAATTATGTCCTCTGCCATTATGATATTTTTTATCTTTTTATTAGGCTCTTCTTATACTGTGAGATTTTCTGTGAGGTTAATGCCTTGTGTGTTTGTGATTCTCCTTGTTTTTCACAGTGATTAATGTTTTGTTCTGAATTATCCAGATTTAGAAACTGTTGACCTCATAATATTACCTATTTTCATCTCAAAATTTATACATAACCAGGAGTTAATCTATGACAGGTATTTTTTTTTGCAAAGAACATAAATTTAGCATGCCCTAAATAGGTCAACCATTCCATATTTTAAAAGTGTGCAGTCAAAAAAAATGTACAATCATACTTTCTTGTAGTGTCACATTTTTCAGGCTTATAGGACTTTCAATAATAGAGGAAATCCTGAAGGGCTGACTTACATAGTTTTATTATTCAATGGTATGTGTCTATTTATACTGTTATGTAAGCTTAAATTTACTGACTGTCAGTTTAATTCAGTGTAACCATTTTCAGATTCATGAGGTATTTGATTGTCAAGAATGTATGAAGAAATTTATTTCAGCTAACCAGCTTAAACGTCATATGATCACCCACTCAGGTAAAAGAAACTATTTTCATTTTTTTAAATTGAAATCACCACAAAAGATTCACTTGTCATTTGTAGAAGCTCCGAGAAGTCAGTAGTTCTAGATAGTGATTGTAGCCTGACCGTTGACTAGCCATATGATTTGGAACAAGATGTTCCTTGAGTTGTCAGTGTATTAAAGTAAAGTTGTACAGAGATATAGAATTCAATTTCCTTTGGATAAAGCATAGGAAATTAGACAAAATTTTATTGATGATTTTCAGAATCATCATTTAATTTTTACTATTTCTTTTTGAGCTTTCTTTTTGTCTCACCTGATACCAGTTCTTTTCAACATCACTGTGAAGATGTAATGAGATTGTTTATATAATATACTAGTATAGTATCTGATACTTAGGAAGATTTCAAAATTATAGCTTCTACATTCCTATATGCTTCTGTGTTAAAGTTGCTAAAATGCTACCAAGACATGTACCAATACATTTTAAAATAAATTTTTTGAAGTCCTTGTTTTATTTTAAGCAAGCTTGGGTTCTACAGATTTAAAAATAAAAGCAGCTCTGAAAATAATTTTTGATTTATGAGGTCTCTTTTAGGAGCTTAGGATGTCTATAATCTGAGAGCATTCAAGTAAGAATGTTTTTTGAGTATTCTGTTTGTTTGGAGACAGAAATAGATATTTTGGCAAACGAAAACAGGAGATCAAAAACTGGTGGCCTTCAGATATGGTTTGTTTGAAACTAACATCTTTCAGTGTAGTTGTCAACATTCCATGAGGATTATATAAATATGGATCTACAGAGCAATCTCATCGTGTGCCTTCTGCTGAGAACGGGCGACTGCGTCTGCATGGAGCCCATGTGCCTGGGAGAGGCAAATTTGGGCTTCACCTCTGCCTGCAGCCTCAACTCAGAGCTGTGCGCCGATTAAAATGCATGTCTGTCAAGACATGTTTTCACCTGAAAGTTTCCATCTGTTGTTTTCCATGGATTAAAACCTCTAATTTTACGTTTAATTAATCAAATACATTTTTTTAGCTTGGGGGCTTTACCTCCTTATATTCAAAGCCATTCTCAGGTTAATGCACTGTCAACCAGGGAACCATGCAGTGCCAGAACCAAACAGGGTTTCCGAGTGCAAAGCGTGTCCTCTTGCCCTCTGAGCTGTCTCTCGGCAGAACATTGTCTTTATATGGAAGCCCCACCATACGTTTAGTTTATAGGTGGACCTGTGGAGAAAGAAGCTCACGTTTCTTTTTTAATAAAATCTCTTCTCTGACAGGTGGGTGGGGGAGATTTCTTTTTCAGTTGTTTTGATCGTATTTCTATTTTTTTTAACCCTCAGAAGTAATACAAGATAAAGCTGTTTCCTTTCTTTCTGTCCTTCTCTTTATAAATCTCTCTCTCTCTCTATATATATATATGTGTGTGTGTGTGTGTGTGTGTGTGTGTGTGTGTATCAATTCTTTCAATTCTATTTTTTTCCTTTTGGCAGAAAAACGACCCTATAATTGCGAGATATGTAATAAATCTTTCAAGAGACTTGATCAAGTGGGGGCCCACAAAGTAATCCACAGTGAGGATAAGCCTTACAAGTGCAAGCTTTGTGGGAAGGGATTTGCCCACAGGAATGTTTATAAGAATCACAAGAAGGTAAGAGCCTGTTGTGTTTTGCTTGTTTTCTGATCTGCTGATAAGATTCCCAGGGGTTGCTCTCTTCAAGGAGTTGCTGTCTGAGAGAGTACAGGGAGCAAGACCTTACAGGAGGCTGAACCCATCAGAATCCAGAGTCTAGGCACCACAGGTGGTTCCCTAAGTGTGACCAGGAGTGATCCCAGAGCACACAGGGAGCCCTGAGCAGCACTGGGTGAAAGTAGCTGTCTGTCAAGGCCCTACCAAGCAGGGTGGAGCCATGAGGGAAGAAGGTTTCTCTCCTCCATTCTCTGTAGAAATTCCTCTCAGCAGCTTCTTCTCTATAGCAGCAATTATTAATCTTTTTATTTTGATCATGGTTTCCTTCCGACCTTGTTTCTTTCCCGTTCCCCCTGTCCCACTAGTTGGACCCCAGTCCTGTGCCACTCCCCACTTCACTCCCATTGATCCATTGATGTATTTTTTATCTTAATCCTTAACTTCATACATCATTGTATCACTGTCATCCTGTTATTCATCAGTTTGCTCAAGTGGGCACCATAATGTCTGCATTCGTCCTAGCCCGGAGATTTTAGCAGCCTCTACTTACTCATCCTTCCCAAAGATGCTGCATTAGAGGCTCTTTCAGGGTTAGGGGAATGAAACACATCATCGTTACTGTTTTTGGCATATCGAATATGCCACGGGAGCTTGCTAGGCTCTGCCATGCAGGCAGGATACTTTTGGAAGCCTGCTGGGTTCTCTGAGAAGAACTAGACTATAAGGAATCATGCGGCTGCCTAGGCGGCCGGGTGTTTCCAGGAGCTTTGTTTTATAGTCTCTGGGTCTTTGCCATTGATGGAATTATATGGTGCAGGGGGCAGTTGGTGTGATGCCTACCTACTGGAAAATAGGGGATCTGGGTGGAGGGAGCCCAGTCCTGATCTGAGCAGGCTTGGAGATCTCAGCCCTGGACCTGCGCACCTTGGTTCCTCTGCCGGTTCCTTCATGCGTGAGGCTCATTCTAGCGTGTGGAGAGTGGCCTTGAGCATGGCTGTGGCTGGGTACACTCCAGAGACTATAAAACCAAGCTCCTGGAAGAGAGCAACACAGTCTCCTGCCTGCACGCCAGGCTGCCTTCACTGGGGCCCCTAGGAGAGGGGCGAGTTGAGTTTCCCTCCCCGCCCCAAGCAGAGCCCCGGCAACCGAAGACCTCTGGTACCCAACTTCACACATACATTTAATAATACTTATTTGACACAGAATTGAACATCTTTTTTTACCTAATGGGTTGGGCATGCTTCATTATGAAGTTTTCCTTAGTTTTTGCCCCAGATAGCTACATGTGGGGTTTTCTGTGATGAAAGCATGTCATTATTCCATCTTATCCCCCTTTGCAAAATTTGAAACTAAGTCATGGTCCACCCTGTCTAAAGTCTCATGGCAGCTTTAGTTGTCCTTTCCTTTTTCAGTCCAGTTCTCCAGTGCTTGCTCATCTTCCTCAGTTGTTCAGCCCTCCAGTTAGGCTTCCTGTTGCTCAGGCTTCTGGCGATCTAATACTCCAGACCTCCCCAAAGCATAACCCTAGTGCCTCACTCTGGCTTTCAAATAGTTTAAGTTGAAATCTACTGATCTGAACAAGTTTTAGTCTGTAGACTTGATTTTGTCAGAGGGCTTGCTGTGTCCCATGCCCTCAGTAGACCCTCCTCGCTTCTGTCACTCTCTTTTCTACTTTCTCAGGACCTAAAGAAGTTCACATATGTCTTTTTTCAGTACAGCTAACTTCCGCTTCCTTCTTTCTAATTAGGGCTCTATTGATGTTTCTTTCTTTTTTTAATTTTTATTAGTGAGACTCCATGAGGTACAGTTGTAGACTTACAAATTTTGTGCTTGGGTTTCAGTTATACAATGATCAAATACCCGTCCCTCCACCAGTGCCCATTTCCCACCACCACGGATCCCAGTATCCCTCCCACCCCCCATCTCCCCCATCCCACCCTGCCTCTGTGGCAGGACATATTGTTTGTAATTCCTTTCACTTTCCTCAAGCTTTTTGTTTAGGAGCCATATCAGGTATTTTTTTTTCTTTTTGGGTCACACCCAGCAATGTGCAGGGGTTACTCTTGGCTCTGCACTCAGGAATTACTCGTGTCCGTGCTTAATGGACCATATGGGATGCCGGAGATCAAACCCAGGTCGTACACGTGCAAGGCAAACGCCCTACCTGCTGTACTATTGCTGTGGCCCCATTATCAGTTTTGAATGAATAATTTAAAATGTTCAAGCAGAACTCCAAATTTGTCCAAAGATATTTTTAAAATCTTAGAAATGTGTTTTGACAATGTCTCCATGATGTGTTATTTTCTTACTGATTTGGGTTGATATGTTTCAGCATTCTATATGGATAGCTTTTTAAGTGATTTACTTTCCTATAATAATTCATTGGAATTTTAGGCATTTCTATATTCATTGGGACTTGAAGGAAACATTTCATTTCTTTTGACATCATTAAAATAATGATATCAACTTCAGCTGCATTCTACGGGATTTACCAAAGGATAAACAGAGTTGATGGATAGTGTCCCAAATCATGCCTGCCTGATTTCTTGCTGCCCGCCCTTCTGTTTAACTCAAGCATTGTCTGTCCAGGGACAGGAGCACATTCATTACTGCTGCTTTGGAATTACATGACTATAAAAAATTATCTGGCTAGTTTCCTGCCCAGACTCTGGAACCCTTTTGCTTCTTTCCTTGGTGAAACTGATCTACCCACATTTATGAGTTTCTCGCAGCTTGGCTTGTGTTATATGCCATATGGGAATTTGGCACTGGATTTTTGCACCATCTCTCATACTTTCAGCCATAAATCATACGAAAGTAATAATGATGTCTTACGAAGGCTAGAAGCAACGATGCCTGTAACTTCCAACGTGGAAAGCACATTCATGACAAATGTGCTTCTCACTGTGTTATGATCCTAGCATGTGTTTGGTGTGGTTCTATGAAAACGCTAAAATATTCTTCAAGACTGTCAAAAAGCAAAAACTTCACTTCTCCCCCCATCATTATTCCTTAATGACTAGTTAGGAAACTGAATCGAAAAATATGAATATACAGGGAAAAATAACAACATTGATTCAGATTGGTTTTCATCATATAGCATGAACAAAATTTGTCCTCAATAAATTTTATTTTGCCGCCTATGCATTACTATGCTACTTCTTCAATTTATTTTGGGTCTAATTTTTCTAATTTGTGATTTTAACATATAGATTGGCTTTAAAAGAAAATACCTTTTCATCACAACGTTAAGTGAAAAGTTGGAGGTTTCTATTTCTAAAACCATATGCTGGTCTCATCACCCTGCGTATTATAGAGGCTCAGCAGGCCAAATAAGTGTTTCTAATTTCTCATCGTTTGTAAAATGATCATTTGACATGATTTGCAGTAGACTTTTTAGAATCTAGTGAGTGTAATAATTATTTTTCTAGTTCCACATGTACTTTGACTCTTTAAATCCCGAGTGGAAAAAAGTTTCAAAACCACAGGAGACAAACCCATCAAGGAGTCTGCACCTTTCCTTTCGTTCCTCACAAATTTGCTCAGAGCAGAGTCTGGGTAAGGTACACCTACGTCCTACTCCAGGCAGCCTTCCTCTGTGAGCTCTATCATCATGTCTCATGATGCTGGCACTGTTTGCTCAATGACTGAAGTGTGTACAGAGGGCTTTTCTTGTGTGTGTAGATGAAGTCATAACCTCCCAGAGGACAAGGATATGGCTGTCCAAATAAAGTATCTTTTTAATCTGACCCTTTCTAGAACCTTCCAGGAAAGAAATTTAGAGGCCTGTGAGAAACTTTCCTCCCAGTTTCTCCAGAAATAATGACTTCTTTGGGGGTTTCTTGGGTAATCGTCTCATACAAGGTTTCCCAAACTCTGGATCATGAACTCTTTCTGCATCTTGAAATTCACGTCACAGGTCCTGTATAGCCTTTGAAATATCTGAGTAGAACAGCTAAGACTAAGTGTCATCTCATGAAACAGTGCATACCTCACAGGTGCGCTGCTTGTTTGTTGGGGTTTGATAGAAAAGCTCTCTCTCTGAACTTGGTCCCACAGACTCTGCAAATCAGAGTGAAGTTTTGCCTGGGTGAAATTCCACACGACCATAAAGGAAAGGACCAGTGTCTCCCTAAATAGATGATGTTTTAGGTTCTAAATCCGAAGTACAGCAGAGAAATTTTGCATAATAGGGAAAAGGGGCTCTTGGAAAATCTTCTGTGAAAGAGTCCCTCTTTGAGATGAAGAGTTAGTTACTCAGAGTTCTTCACATGTAGGAGAGAGAGGAAGTAGTAGGGTCTTTTATGTCATGTGGTCCCCACCCTTTGTGTGCCAGGTCACAGCACATTTGCTGTGAGGAAAAACTCATACTTAGATGGGTACAAAGGAATTGACCCTGACTGAGGTGAACTATAAGCTCAGAGGCACAGCTCAAGTTTACCTTAGCCAATAGCAGATCACTCACTCTCATTTTTTCTAAGTCACTGAGGGGACACATGTGTAGCTCCTAACAGAAGCCTTTAGGTCCCCTCTCAGCTGTAAGCTTAAAGATGCCACTGTCTCTGTGGTGTGAAATAATATCTCATTGTTGTTTTGATCTCCATCTCCCAGATGATTAATGATGTGGAGCATTTTCTCATGTGCCTTTTAGCCATTCAGATTTCTTCTTTGAGAAAGTTTCTGTTCTTTTCATTGCCCCATTTTTTGATGGGGTTGGATGTTTTCATCTTGTGGAGTTCAACCAATACCTTGTATATCCTTGATATCAACCCCTTGTCAGATGTGTATTCGGCGAATATCCTTTCCCATTCTGTAGATTTCTTTGTATTTTGGTCACTGTTTCTTTTGAGGTGCAGAACCTTCTTAGTTTAAAATAGTCCCATTTGTCTATCTCTGTTTTCACTTGCTTGGCCAGTGGCGTGACATCTTTGAAGATACCATTAACTTCAATATCATAGAGG